CTAACCAACTGAGCCACCCAGGCGCCCCCGTTTGTGTGTTTCTTAAAGGCTGGAGGAAGTCCGTCGCTTTCTGAGTCATCCTGCTGGTGAGGGAGTGAGAGTTATCAGGAAACCTGGGTTCACATTCTGGCTTTGCCCGGCCTGAGGGCTTGAGCCCACTGAGGGATCATCCTTAGGTGAAGGGCCTGCCTCCAGATCACAGGACACCTCCCACTGGAAGGGGACTTGTGTGTTCCTTACTGCGTCTCGTCAGCTGAGGGCCCCGAGGACCTCACCGAAGCCTATTTAACATCGATGCCCTGGACAGTAGCCACAGGCTTGCAGCCCTGTACAACCATATGGGCAGATGTATTGTGGGTTCTATTTTGGGGAATCCAGTTTATATTTTAGACAGTCAGGGAAGACCGTTAAAACCAGGTGGCCAGACAGATGTTTCCAGACCAGAAGATTCTAATGTAACACTGCTCCCCCCAAACAGAGCGAGTGGGTAGACGCAAACTTCCTTGACCACACGGGGTGTGGTGAGGGTGTGAGGTAGGGATTGTGCTCATAGTACCTTCCGAGGTGCTGAGCACAGCGCTGACCCCGAAGTGTGCCTTGGTTCACCCGACTTCAAAACCCGCCTTCTTACAGAACAGCTGTTCCCAAAAGGGTTCTGTGGTATCCTTGCTTTTCTGCCCCAAATGGGTTCTGCATCCGTGTAAGTGTGGGAATACCACACACACTGTTGCCTTGTTTGAGGTTCACCGAGCACATCAGCATATGGGAATACTCATTTTACAGGGTTTCACAGATGTTGGGTTTTCTGTGGACGGAAGGTTTGTGGTAACCCCACATCGAGCAAGAATGTCAGCGCCATGTTTCCAACAATGTTTACTCACTTCGCGTCTCTGTGTCACATTTTGGTCATACTCTCGATGTTTCAAGCTTTTTCTTTCTAATTATATTTATTATGGTGACTTGCTTTGTGATTGGTGATCTTTGATGTTACTGTTGTAATGGTGTTGGGACAACCACAAGCCATGTGCCTATAGGACTATGAACTTCACTGATAAATGTGTGTGTTCTGACTACCCAAGTGACAGGCCATTCTATCTCTCCCTCTCCTCGGCCTTCCTATTCCCTGAGACACAACAATATTGAAATGAGGCCAATTAATAACCCTACAGTGGCCTCTAAGTGTTCCAGGGAAAGGAAGAGTTATGCGTCTCTCACTTGAAATTAAAAGCTAGAAATGGTTACGCTTAGGAAGACACGTTGAAGGCTGAGATCAGCCGAAAGCTTGGCCTCTTGTGCCAAAGCGAGCCAAGTTGTGAACCCAGGGGAAAAGTTCTT